CAAATGGCTCCATCTGAAGTTTCAGTTGTGCAAACCCAGCCTCCAAGCAGGCAGATTTTGTTTAACTGCCTTTGCTCTGGGATTTCTTTGTGGTGTATTAAGCGTTTATTTGTAGATTTAGCCTAAACCTATCATAATTTCCCTTTAAACCTATTGAAGCCACTCCTAATCGTATTAAAACAAAATTGAATTCTTGTACATTCTGAAGGATGGGGGGAACTGAAAATGTTGAATTATGTATGGACTTTTAAAATCCATGAACCTTAGGTTTACACCATCACCAAGAGCTAATTTATTCGCAGGAACGTTTTATTATTATTATTATTATTACACAGGATTTATATAGCGCCAATAGTTTGCACAGCGCAAGATATATACCAAGCTAATAGGCTTAACCAAATCTGTAGCAGAGCAGAAATTTAATTTGGTGCTTGATTCCAGTGGAATAATTGTAGCATGGTTCTTCAAGCTCATTATATGCAATTAGGTACATCAATCACAGGCCTATATAGCACACCTGTAAGGCTGGGCACACACCTTACAACCATCGCAAGACTTTTGTCTTTCGATGGTTGTAAGGTACTTAAAAAAACCGTACAATCTGCCTATCTTGCATAGGCAGATCGTACTTGCGATGATCGCAAGCCACGCCCCCTGAGGGGCGGGCTTCCGATGACCGCAATGCCGAACGGGCAGTGTGCGCTTGCGCACACCGGCCCGTCCGGCTTTTATCTTACATGCTACAGACCTGCCGAACATCGTACGATGCTCGGCGGGTTTTGAAACATGTCCGTAAGTTTAAAGTCGTGCGACCTTCCGCCCAATCTCACTAATCAATGCAGACTTGAAAATACTTACCAAAATTCTGACCCTTCGCCTCAGATCTCCTATTCTGCATCTGATATCCAAGGATCAAGTGGGCTTTATGCTGGGGCATCAGGCAGGTGACAGTGTCCGCAGGATATCCCACTTACTCCATATATCACATCAAAGAAATATTCCCACTATGCTTCTGGCTCTAGATATTAGCAAAGCATTTGACTCAGTGAGTTGGGAATATCTGAACTATACACTTACCAGATGGGGTTTGGACATTACTTTATGAGATGGATAGGGGCGTTATATTCCAATCCGACAGCCTACATACAATATCAGGGATTCCGCTCCGACTCTTTTGACATTACCAGAGGGACCAGGCAGGGGTGCCCTCTCTCCCCCCTCCTTTTTGCTCTGGCTATAGAGCCCCTGGCACAGGCAATACGGCAACATACTGACATTAAAGGCCTGGAGGTCGCGGGGTACCATCACAAAATTAGCTTATTTGCTGATGACGCATTGTTGATTCTTACGGAACCGCTGATCTCACTCCCTAATCTGCAACCACTACTAAAGCTATTCGGTAACCTCTCGGGTCTTTGTGTGAACATGACTAAATCAAAAGCACTAAATGTCTCCCTTTCCCCTTCGACACTCACCTCCTTGCAAGGGTCGTTTCCATACCAATGGGCCCATTCTGCACTGCCATACCTGGGGATCCACCTTACTCCAACTTATGCCCAGATGTATCAAGCTAATTACCCCAAACTATTTTCTTACATGGAAACCCTACTGACATCATGGGAGAAACATCCAATATCGTGGCTTGGTAGAACCACAGCAGTTCGGATGACTCTGCTCCCCAAATTTTTATACCATGCAAGGGTCCTACCCGTTCCTATCCCCTCTTATAGCCTTAGACAATTACAACGCCGCATACTTAGTTTCATATGGAAGGGGTCAATTCCTAGGGTCTCCCAATTGGTTCTGTATCGGAGCAAAGTAAGAGGGGGTTTGGGACTCCCCTCTTTCCACAAATACTATCAGGCGGCCCAACTGACACTATTGGTGTCCTGGTATGGGAAGGGCGAATTGCCATTGTGGGTCTCATTAGAGGCCTATGCTTGTTCTCCAATCTCTCTCCTCAACCTTCCCTGGCTCCCCCCCAAAAATTGGCAGAGCATCTAAGAACCCAATTCTTACACACACCCTAAAAGTCTGGGAAGGATTGCACCGTCACTTAAACTGGGCCTCCCCTCAGCTACCTCTACTGTCCATCCATGGAAACCAAATGCTTCAGCCGGGATACACCAACCCAGTAGCCTTCGCACATTGGCGGGTCAAATCCTTGAGTTTACTTAGAGATTTCTGTTCTGACACTACCATTATCCCATTTCCGGTGCTTCAAGCCAAACACCAATTGACCCCACGAGACATATTTCAATATTTGCAAATCAAACACTACATACTGACTCTTTTGGATAAGTCCATTTCCCCTCCCTCCCTCACCACATTTGAGGAGTTCCTACTCGATGACACAAAACACAGAGGGCCCATCTCAGTTTTATATACTATGATTCTTGACCACCTACAGACTCCACTCCCCACATATGCCTCCAAATGGGAACAAGACCTGGGGCGCTCTATCCCGGCTGAGACATGGTCTCAAATTTGGATGACAACCTCACAGAGCTCAACAAATGTCCAGGCAATTGAAGCCAACTATAAGTTACTCCTACGGTGGTACCTGGTACCCCTCAGGATCTCCAAAGCCATCCCGTCCTACTCAACAAACTGTTTCAGGGGCTGCCGGGTGGAGGGGTCAGTCCATCACATTTGGTGGGATTGCCCTAAAGTGAAGAGATTCTGGCATAGAGTGTACCAACTGTACACTGTCACAGGCAAAACATTTCGCAAGGACCCCTTGGAAGCCCTACTACATAAGAAACCGTCGGTATGCACTGTTAGGCAACACCGTCTGGTCACATTTATACTCACCGAAGCCAAGAGGGTAATTGCGAAGGCTTGGAAATCCCCGGACATACCGTTTGCGGAGGTCAAACGTAGAGTATCGAGAGTGATGTTCTTTGAAAAACTTACTGCTCTCCAAAGGGATGCTTTGGTATCATTTTGTAAACTCCCTCTTTTGATATGGAATCCTTGATCCTTTGATTTCTCGATAACAGAAGTTTTCATAAAAAGTAGATCCTTCCTCCTACCCCAACCTCTCCCCATATATCCCCTTCCACTCCTTTTATCTAGTTGGAACCAACCACTTCATACTTAGCCTCTGAACCTTGGTCCCAAAGTCTTTGTAACGATGTTCGTAGTATTTATACCAATTGTATGTAGTCCTTGAGGACTGCACTGTTTGACTGTACCATTATATCATGGAAATCTGAGTTTGTAAACTTTCTTTGATACTGCAATTTCCTACACACTGAATGTGAAAGGGTGATCACTGTTATAAGCATTTAAAACAAAACAAATAAAAACTTTTTGAAATAAAAAAAAAAAAAAAAGTCGTGCGACCTTACAGTAGTAGAGGTTGCACGGCTTCCACACACCTTACAATAATCGTACGATCGCGGGATTTCCTGCGATTATCCTACGATTATCGTAAGGTGTGTGGGGACCTTAGGAAAAACAGAAATAGACACGTTTTTTTTTTAAGTAGATAAGATTATCAGCTTCTCAAGAGAGATGAGAATGAGCTGGCTCCTTCCTTCTGAAGCAGAACTAAACCCTCCTTTTGGCCATGGAAGATGCCATCTTAGCCTCTATGTAGATCTCTAGTTGTCATGGTGCTGCACATGCGACCATATATGACACCAGCCATTTCAAGGTTCGAAAGATCAGTTAGGAGCTGATGTAAGAACACTGGCAGCTGTGACAGTTGTCACCAGAGGTATGATTTGTCCCTTGCATACACTGCATATACACTAGTTGGCAGAATGTAAATGAAAAACACTGCAGAAAACATTACGTGTATATGTGATAAAGGATATGATAATCTAATAATCTAATCTAATAGATGCTTTTATGCGTTTTCTTAAAAGCCCCCCAAACCTACTGTAGAACAGCTCTATCTGGATTAGCTGATGATCCCTTAATATTTCCAGGTGAGTTAACCATACAGTTTATGTGATTTTTATATACAATATATTCTGACTGAGAAAACATTTATCAGTCCCTAATGGATCTATTTATTTTGACTATTAGAATGGGGGTAATGCACTGAACATCAAAATGAATATCTAGAAACGAGAGCAGAATAGTCCATAAATAAAATGTGAACTGAGAGTGTTTGCAGGAGTTTTTTCTTTTTTTTCTTAAAGTTTGCAAGTGCTGGGGAGTTTGATATTGGAAAAACCGCTATGAGTACCGTGGTAAAGGTGCCCATACACTGCACAATTCTCGTACGAGAATCGCGGGAAATCCCGCGATCGTACGAGAATCGTGCAGTGTATGGAAGGCGTGCGACCGTTTCTACTGTACGGTCGCACGTCTTCCGTCGAACCAGCAGGCTAGAAAACGCGCACACAGCCCGTTTGCAGTCATCGTAAGCCCGCCCCTCATTGTAATCATCGTAAGCCGCCCCTCAAGGGGGCGGGCTTGCGATGATCGCAAGTACGATCTGCCTGTCCAAGATGGGCAGATCGTACGTTTTTTTAAGTACTTTACAACCCTCGCAAGACAGAAGTCTTGCGAGGGTTGTAAAGTGTATGGGCACCTTAACAGAGGGTTTATTTGTTGGATGAAGGGAGGTTGGAGGTGAAGCCCACTCAGATGTAAATTCCCAGCCAGTGAAGGCTGTGTGCAGTGTGGACAGACCACAGCTGCTTGGCTGGACTGGGCCCCACAGGTCCCTTATACAGGCACCTTATAGTGATTATGTAGACGATTTGATAATCTAACATGTAGTGGTAGTTATCTTTTTCTACTTGGTAAATAAAAACAACACTGATGTAATTTGTTTTCCTCTCAGGTTAAATGAAAAGATAACATCTTCTTTTTTTGTGAACCAACAAAAAACTGCCAGGGCTCAATTCCAAAGTATTGCATGTTTTTAAAATTAATTTAAATTAGTTATTTAGGTTGCTGACACTTCTTTATATCTCTATATGTAAGCACCTGCCTATCCTATTTTTAGCCCCACTTACTTTTTTCTTCTTACCCACTAGATGTTTGCTGCTGAAGAAAATGTTGACTTTCGTATTCACGTAGAAAATCAAACAAGAGGAAGAGATGACGTGAGTAGAAAGCAGCTTCGGCTCTACCAACTCTATAGCAGAACAAGTGGGAAACATATACAAATAATAGGAAGAAGAATAAGTGCAAAGGGAGAAGATGGAGATAAGTATGGTAAGGTAGTTTAATCCTATCCTATCCTATACAATCCTGTCATATATAGTATTAAATCTAAGTGCCACTTTCATTTTTACATGGGGGATTCTACCTCCAGGCCAGTGAGATCTGAGCACACCCTTTGGTCTTTCTCTACATCCTGCCTGAGCACACACACCTCACTTCCCTGTTTCCAAGCCAGCAGTGAGATGGTTCCCCTACTGTGTGTATGCATCTGCCTCTCTCTGTTGTCATCCCATGCCTATAAAGGAGAACTATGAGGTGAGTGATTTTTACTCACCTCATAGTTCTAGCCGACCTGTGACAATGAGACTGTCACAGGTCGGCTCAGTAGATCAGGAGGTGAGCGAACACATACCGGCGTTCGCTCACCTCTCAATCCTGGCACAGCTCTCTGCTGTGACAGGGGAGGGGCTGGATTCCCCCCGCTCCGATCTGCCATCGCTGACAGGTGGATCGGACGGGGGAGGGGGCGGGTACAGCTGGCTCTGCCTCTAGATAGGCAGAGCCAGCTGTCACTCATGCAGCTGGGCGGATCCAGACATAATTGTCGGGATCCGCTTCAGCTGCGGCGTCTCAGTATCTCGCTCGCGGTAGCTCACGGTATACTGTGGCGTCTCAGTATACCGCGAGTACCAGGAGTGATTGCAAACACAATGACTGTGGGCCATTCCTGCTGACAGTGCAAATAAAAATTACTGCACACATACAGTCACGCACACAATGGTAAATATAAGAGATTTAGGTGTCAGATTAAAAGTCACGTGACATTTCATGTGAGTGATATAGACCAGTTGTAAACCCAACAATTTTGCCAAGCTAGCATTGAGCCACTGGGCATGTGGGTGGCTTGCTGCATATACTTTAACTCCAGCTGCTGGTGAAGAGACACCTGCCTGCTTAATGATGTATCTGGAGATGGTAGAGTGGGGTTTGGAGTCTTTGATGGAGGTTGAAGCCTTTTTTTGGGACTACTAAGTGTGACCGTATGCTGACCTCTTCACCGCTTAATAAGACATAAGCTATTTCTCTCAAACCCCTTATCAGATTCCCATTCCTATTACTTGAGGCCACATGTTGCAGCGGATGCAGACAGATTCCTATGGACTGGTGGAACCGGTGGAAAGAGAGGGGTGAGGAGGATTGTGGGCCTTTTGGCTGCTGTCTCCACTGAGCTATTTGGTGAACATAGATATTTTACTACTGCACCATGGTTCATTGACAAAGGTGAATAAAAAACAATATGTATAATAAAGCTGCTGTGTCAGAAAAAATTGTGAAAAAAAGAAATTGATAATGCAACGGACACTGCGCTAAATGTGAATCTAATCCTTTACGTGCTTAATCCTTTTAAAATAAAGTACCAGCTGTCAATTATCAGTGCACTGACAAATCCTCTCGCGAAAACAACCTACATACAAAACCATAAATGTGCTCACAATTCATAAAGTCTATAAAACATGAGTGAAGTCCAATAATCCTTGTGTGCGCTTCCAATCAAGCTAGGACAACAGTATTAATAAAACAAATCTCCGTGGCCATCCTCCTTGTTCCGAAATGTGAAAAATGCTCACTTGCTAGCTTGCGGTGGTCACCTTTTTACGGGCTGACCCGGAATCATTTAGTTAATCTATCCATTAATCTGCTGTCTTTTACTCCTGCTTGTCGGCTACAATGTAGTTTCAATTAACTCCCTCAGTTTCTGAGACGCTCGCAATAGCAATCTTTCCTTTGTTCCGCTTTCTCCACTTATTTGATATATATAAATGATCAACGATGCTCAGGGAAGAAGAAAGGGATAAAAAAAATGCCTGTAGGTGGTAACCGGGTGCACTGTTAGTGTCACTAGAATGGTGGATAGGTGACAGCCAGGTACATTGTCCGTGTCACTAGAATGGTGGATTGGTGGCAACCATGATGAGGGTACACCATTCAAATGATACCAAAGTGCACATGTCTCACACATATATCCCCCATTCCAGTACACTCCACTCATTGCAGCCCACCACTCTGCAAATCACTGTAATATAGCAGGAGCAATTAGTGGGGGGTTGTACACTCCACTCATTGCAGCCCACCACTCTGCAAATCACTGTAATATAGCAGTAGCAATAAGCAGCAGTGAATATAGCACTGTATATCTTTATATCTTGGTGCTAACATACTGCTAGTACTTTACAAGTAGCATAAACTATCTCTCCTTCACAAAGCTGTCAGCTGTTCCTCACTAACTCCAATGCACACTGACAAAAGGATGCTGGGAGAGCTGACTTTTATAAGGAGGTGTCTGGCACATTTTCAAAGCCCCATTATTGGCCATAATTCTTCACCTAACCAGAGTTCAAAGGTCATGCAAAGCATCATGGGGTTCACTTCTGGTGAACTTGCCCAAATATTCTCAATTTGGGCGAATGCGAAACTCATCCCTAATATATGTATAAGTTTGGGTAGCGTGTGTCCTCAAAATACATCTCCACAGTGTTGAGGCCTTGGTGCACCACTCCGTTATGTATAACAAATCCAAAATAGTCTCCGCACTCAAGGCAAGATTGTAATAATATTAGCAAATGATAAAAACATGTATTATACCCTGCAAACAAGCACCAAAGGAGTGCCTTTTCTTGTGCATTATTGTTAACATTTTTTAAAAGCAGTAAAAGACCTACTCACAAAGGCAAAATGCAGGTATCATCAAAGATAAGAGGTCACAGCTTCATGTAACTCAACACTTGAGGCTGCTGGGGAGAGGAATAAGACCGGCAGTGACACGCTGGCTTCTCTGTCCTCGCAGCCTCCACTGGCTTAACATGTTTTCGGGGTCATACACCCTGTCTTTACATTGTGTATGCTACTAAGTGGCCCGCAGCGAGCTGCCAAGTCAGGTACACAGGCACGGACCGCGTGTCTGACTTGCGGGAGCAGCTACACGGTCTGCATCTGTGTCGGATGCAGACTGCAGAGCTGCTCCTGTGAGCTCCGGCTGGAGCTCTGTCAGTTCTGAGCTACGGCCAAATGATGGATGATTAGTAAGGTCTGCACTAGACCTTACTAATCACCACTAGATCACCAGGGAAGGATGATGTGCATCCTCCCTGCAAAGATGCAAGCAGGTGAGGGGGTTTTATTATTATGTGTGCTGGGGGCGAGGGTGAGGGAAGTTTATTATGTGTGCTGGGGGCTTGGGAGGGGGAGAAGTTTATCATGTGTGCTGGGTGTAGGGTTGCCACCTGTCCAGTATTCACCCGGACAGTCCGGGTTTTGAATGCTGTGTCCGGGTTTCATGGCAGCAGAAACCCAGACACAAAATGTCAGGCAGACAGGGGAAACCAAAATTAAGATAGGGGCTACTGGCCCCCCACTGAAAATAGTCTCAACTGTGATATTTACATATGAATGGGTGGCACGATTTACATATGAATAAGCCACATAATTCAAGTTAATGATCAGGTGACAGCTGCTGCATGTAAATGCCTACATACCGCATGTAATCATATGTGATATGATTACATGCAGTTACAAAAACAATCACTATCCCTGAATACACAATTGTGATTAATACCTAACTGCATGTCGTTCCTTCGCATATGATTACATGTGGTGTGCATGCAGCAGCTGTCCACCCGATCATTAACTTGAATGGGTGACAGTTGCGGCTTGTAACGTGCATACATTAACACTGGTACCGTATATAGAAGCGGCCCCCACGGGACTAAAAAATTTGTCCAGTGGCCTCCGAGCAAATTGAGTTTGAGACCCCTGCTCTACAGCCAAGTGATACACAAATAAACTACATTTTTATTAATGGTTAGTATACTTGAATGCATTTTTATGTTTTATTACTGAGTTTAGAGTTGCTTTAATTTGTGGCCCATTTGGTGAGCGAGTTTGAAGAAAGATATAGCTTGGATGTTGTCAATTTGCCTGATGCAGATATCCACAAACATTGTGGCAAAGTTGTGTCATCAGCTACATATATGAAAGCTTTGCAGGATCACTATTTCTTCTTAGTTCTATCACCAGTTAATCAAATGCATTGGAGCTGCTCTTATTCAGTGTGTCAGTATAATCCCCCACAGTCAGACACACAGTGCATTTGCCAGTTGACATTGCTCATTCTAACTTGCCAGTGCTTCCTCTTAGTGTGCTATAAGTGCACACAAAAACTGTGTTGTTGCCACTTGTTGATAACTTCACAAATAAGCAGCATAGACAGGGTTAGAGTTAGATATAACTCGTGTTGTGTCTTTTTTCAGGATTTTTATATACTGTAAATGTTAAGTGAAATATTCCATGAATACATCTTTCAGTTTTTATGTCCCATGTAACAAATATTTTACTTGCACGTGTGATTATAGTGCAAACTGCAATATTACAATTCCCAAAAAGTTGGGACGCTGTGTAAAATCTACATAAAAACAGAATGCAATGATTTGCAAATCTCATAAACCCATATTTTATTCACAATAGAAAACAGAAAACAGAATATAGTAATGTTTTTAACTGAACAATTTACAATTTTAGGAAAAAATGTTTGAAAAAAAATTGGGACAGGACCATATTTACCATGATGTAGCATCCCCTCTTCTTTTAACAATACTCTATAAACGTTTGGGAACTGAGGAGACCTGTTGCTGGAGTTTTGGGAGATTAATGTTGTCCCATTCTTGCCTGATATAGGATTCTAACGTCTTAACAGTCCTGGGTCTTTGTCATATTTTTAGTTTCATATCTTTTGCATTGATGATGCCTTTCCTGATGTGCAAGCTGCCCATTTCATATGCTCTAATGCACCCCGATACCGTCAGAGATGCAGGCTTATGAAGTGAGCGCTGATAACAAGCCCGAAGATCCCTCCTCTTTATCCCAAGGACGCGGCGCCCATGGTTGCCAAAAAGAATTTAAAATTTTGATTCCTCTGAACAGTTTTTAGTTTCAAGATGCGCCAAATATTTTCAGTTGTTAAAAGGTCTGGACTGCAGACAGGCCAGTTAACCACT